CAAGGTCTAAGGTTCTATTCCTGTACTGGCCAGCCACTATTTTATTATTATTATTATTATTAATGATAATAATAATATTTTTAAAAAATAATCTTTTGGTAGAGATGAATTAATTTCCTTTTATTTTGTTATTATTATTATTATTAATGATAATAATAATAATATTTTTAAAAAATAATCTTTTGGTAGAGATGAATTAATTTCCTTTTATTTTCTTATATCTTCACAGATTGTAAGTGTTGGGAAGCATGTTAAAGGCTACCATTATATCATTGCAAACTTGGTAAGAATTTTTTATTTTCTACCTTTAATAAGAATTGCTCAAGCATTCAAGATTTTAACAGTGCCTTAGTATAATGCTTTTGATAAATGGTTAGACTACATTATTTACTGAGCTTTTTAAAACACATAGGGTATCTTATTACAGTGATCGTTATATTTCTAATGTAGAAGTCAATGTATTTTTATGCAGATCAGCTTTGTAACTGCCAAAGAGACCTTTAAAATTATAATGTTTACTTTGCTATGACATCACTTGTCAAATTAAATAATGGCTTTTTCTCTGTCTAAATGATAAATGTCACTCTATGGAAAAGATTGCCAATACTTGGGTCTTACAAGAATGTTCTAAAATAATGACCTATGTTCTTCTATTTTAAGAATGATAGGATATAATGGCTATATGTAGTCTTCTCAATGAGAATAATACATTTTTTTTAATTTTGTCAACTTTTCACATATAATATATGGATGGCCAGTGAACAAGATAAGTGGATTTTTATGAAATCCTTGAAGGCCTGAGACAAGTCCTTTTAAATTCCTTGGCAAGGCTCACTATTTCTTGTTAACTTTGCAACGTGAGGGGGAACTGACTATGGAAAAAGCCATCTCTCCCACTTTATTAGAGTACTTACCATATGCCCTAAGGGTTAGGTCCCCAATGTCATCTCCTTTTTCTATCTATTCCCACCACACATTTCTTTGATGAGTATCTTATGCTTGAAGCAAGAACTAAAGGATTCAAAAGAGATTCAGATCTACCCACTCTTTCCATGGGCAAGTGGACCATCACACTTCAAGACAGGAATTTTCAGTCTTTAGTGAACTGGGTTTTGCTGTGGAATCAAGATAATAAAGTTCGGCAATATACTCTGAACCATTATTGAATTGTGCTTTTTGAATAAAACGTAATTTTTTAACTTAATGGGTTATGTAAATATTGGAAGATTTTGACTTGTCTTTTTTGTTGCTTTTAGTAGACTCATAGTCTGTGGGTGTTTTGTTTTTAATAAAAATATAAATCTTAAAGCAAATATATTCTGGTATTAATCACTATAAGAGAAAAGATCTTAGGGTTATGGGATGTCTGTATTCATAATGACATTGTACAATGAGATTCTAATTAATTTATTTTATAGTAAATAGAAGATTTTGACATTTATTCTCTCCAAACAATAAAATTCAGGGAAAAAAATCAATATATTATAGACTATTATTCCAAAAATGAATTACTGACACTGAAGACTAAAATAAATAAGCCAATAAAAAATGGAAAGAACTAATATTTATAGTACTCTAATGGGTATCACAACCTGTCACAAACAGCCCTAGTAGTTGGCAGCATGTTTAAGTGTTGGGAGCTGCCCTGAAAGCAGGGGTCCCCTTGGGGACACAGCTCTCGTCCATCTGTATTCAGCTGACAAAGCTTCACATGAGATCAAAAAGAAATGTTTTGAGAACAGCAGGAAATGTTTTGAGGAAGTTTAAACTTTTGACCTGGGAGCATTCCTGAGAACTTGGGAGTGTGTGCTATTCCTGTAAACCCACACATCCTGTTGCTTACACAGAACTTGTATTCCTTTGTTTAGACATGCACTTAGAAAAGTATATAAAGGGAAATGTCTGTTGAATAAAGCGCAGCAGTTCTTCGAGACTGTTTGTCCTCCTGACCCCATCTTTTGTCTCTTGTCTCTTTTCTAATCCTGCGCTCGTCTTCTCGCCCCACCATCTCCAGCTGGCTTCCGGCTTTTAAGTAATCTAAAGTACCAACATAGTGAAACAGAAAAACAATTTTGCTTTTTGTACAGAATAGAATCATTGCTTTCACTAAAAATAATAAATTTTTATCATATGTTGTTGATATCTTTGTAACATCTGATTAGGCCAGTGACTTGCATATTTCTACATGATAATATAGTGTATTAATATGGCTTCCGTTGACTTATTGATTTATCTCTAAAGGACTATTACTTATAACACCAGAGTGTTTTTTGTTTCACTGAGCTTGTTAACAGCTATTTCTTGAGAGCTAGGTGCATAGGATTCCCAACTGTGAAGTCAATCCAGAATCAAAGTAAAAAATTATATTAATGTTATCTTTAATATTTAAAGACTGAATGATTTTAGCCTAAGTTAAGTAACACAATAAGGATGTCCCTTCTCATCACTTCTATTGAACATTGTACTGAAAGTTCTTGCAAAAGAAATTAGGCAAGAAAAATAAATAAATGATATCCAGATTGAGAAAGAAGAAGATTTTGTATATAAAAAATATTAAGGAATCAAAAAAAATCACGGAATTAATAAATGAGTTCGGCAGGGTTGTAGGATACAAGTTCACTATACAAAAATTTATTGTATTTCTATGTACTAGCAACAAACATTCAAAAAACTAAATTAAGAAAATAATTCCATTTATAATTATGACTACAATTTACAGTTAATGGGGAACTGCTACTTAACCAACTCATCAAGGTTGATTTAACAGAATTAGTAAAAACTGCCTTCTAAAATAACAATACTTAGTGGTTACTGGGTGGCTACAAGTATTTTAAAAGATTTAAAATATTCTGTAATCACAATATTGAAACAAAGCATAAAGTATGAAGTCCTTCCCATATTTACCAAAAAGAGAACAATGAAAATAGCCAGACATCATTATGTGATTCATTAAATTGTATCATGAATTTATAAGCATGCATTAGAGTAAAAGTCAAGGATTTCCCTTACTGAAACAAGGTTACTCCCTGGAGAAGCTGAGTTTAAATACAGGTGTTATTTGTACTTCTTGAAAATAATAATCCTCTAAACCAAGAAACAAAGTAAGGAATGTCACAGAAATATTGACTTCCTAATGGTCATTAAATTCTTTGGCTGAAATACAAAAGGCAGATTCCATGTATTTAAATAAAATAATACTCAATTTCTTTATGAGTAAGGATGCAAATAGGTTGTGAATGCTCTTTGGTATTATTTAAAATTGTCTTGTCATTGTCTGTAAGTTGAATTTATCTTCCTCAATTAACTACCATTCAATCTCATGCATCATTCTATCCCGATGAAATGAGAATAGACTAATGTTTTCCATGTCCCACTGATCTTTAGCCTTTGCAGATACTGTGGTGTGCTTCCATCTCACCTCCAGCCAGGCCCAAAAAAGTGAGAATCCCTTCCCTTATTAAAAAGCCTGACCCTACTGAGAGTCCAAGAGGTCCCACAGGGGGTTAACGCCATCTGAATAGCATGAGCTGTGCCTGATACCCAAACGAATGGGTGTGCCTCTCCCTAATTCTTAAAATTTTTCTGATTATCACTGCCACTGTCCAATTGCATATTAAGGATGAGTAAAACTTACAAGATATGGAAGATTACTGAAATCTCTTTTTTGTGTCTGTTTCCTGTATGTGATTTGTATGTGAGTATATGTATTTTATTTAGACACACCCAATCATCTAGAGGTACCGAAGAAAGCATATGGTATCTCAATAGATAAAGCCATGTTCTAGAAATTTCTGAGAGATTTAGAGGCAGGATAACCTTATCTGTCTGTTGGTTCATAGTAGTCTGTTTTTCATAGATTTAAGTAAGAAAATTGCTTCCCTACTTTGCCCCTAGAACTTTCCTTTTCATGTTCTTCCATCACTGTGCTGCCAGTTATTTTTTAAAACAGGTATGATTATATCACCTCCCTGCTTAAAGTTTTTCATTGGCCCCAGGCTGCAAATACAAGAAAAGACATCAGACCCTTCATGATTTGATCCCCTGAAGGTTTCCCAGTCCTACCTGCTAATATGTGTCTCACCTCTCCACAGAGCTGGCATTTCTCTCAAAATGACATACCATCCCAATTCTGAGTCAGTGCCCCAGTTTTTTACCATCTTCTACCAGAGTAAGCATTCTAAAGCTAAGCACTGCTCAACTTAAATCCTTTGGGATAAAGTATTTACAGTATTTCACTTAATGCACAGAGCCATTTAAGATTTTACTCCTACTTAACCCCAGAGTCTCTTTCCCACTCCAGCCTATATGACCCTTCTCCAAAACAAATTACTGTGGTTCCCAGACACCTAATGCTGCTTTTCTCTTTGCAGCTTTAGTTAGGCTGTTGTCTCCAGCAGGAGGCATTTACCCCAACCAGTTCTAATTAATGGTCACAGTCACTTCTAGAAAGCCATCCTTAAATACCCACTCTGATAACCCCTCTCCTGGGTTCGCAAATCATCCTGATCAGTTCATTCGTTGTTTTCATTCATCAAATCATTATTTTACGCCTCCTATTTACCAGGCACTGTCCAGCATCCTGTGGCACAGCTTCAAATAAGGCATTAGCACACTGCAAACTCATTGAAAGCAGCAACAATGTCTTTGCTCACCTTATAAAAAGAGTCCTTGTACTGACTCTTTATCTGTTGAACTTCTGCTAATCCTCTAGCACTCAGCTTATGTTATTATTTTTGTTTATGTTACTATAATTGTTTTAATTAGTCCTTAAAAATAACTATGCTTATTTTGTCGACTGGAAGATGAGGTTGCTAAGATCACTCAGATCCTAAGTCACAAAGGCAGATTTGAAGCTCTGGCCTATCTGATGACATAGAATAAATCAATTCACAAATAAATAAATAACTTATATAGGAAATAATGCCACACAAGTGGCAATAATGCCATAGAGTGACCATTGATTTAAGCATTTCCCATACCACCCTTAAGGGGGATCTGGCCTTAGACCCATTGCTCTGTGTTTATATTCACTCCACCTCCAGCAGTCAGATCACTTAAATATGGCCACCAACTGCACCAAGGAGCTGTTGACGTTTCTTCCACCTGCAAGGCGAGTTCTTAGAATCTGGCTCTCATTTATGTTTTTAATTTTCTAAGATATATTCAGTGTACATACAGAAAAACCCCTGGTTCTATCATAAGGAAGTATAAAATTATAAAATGTGCAGGGTATATAATTAAAGATTAACTGAATCTATTCTTTTCCTATCCCCTGCCACAACACACACACACACACACACACACACACACACACACACACACACACACACACACACACACACACACACACACACACACACACACACACACACACACACACACCATTTGGCCTTGTTCAGAAGGAAAGAAATTAAGATGCAGAGAGCAAAGTGTCTTGTCTACATTTAGGTGTCTGGTCAGTTTAAGAATGCAGACTAGACAAAGTTCCCAGAATTTGCAGTCTAGCACATTTTTATTCAAGTGCAATGACCCCAGTTAAGATTCCACCAATTTGGTGACATTGTTTTACTTTTTCCTTTGTGCTTTCTGTGTTTTTCAACTTTTCTGCATTGACCATGTCTGACTCCACTTTCTATCTACATGTGCATCAAAAGTGCATACTTTAAGATAATTTGTTAACAAACTAGTTTTAAAAGATGGTAAAGAGAAATTTTCTCCATTCCATTTGATGTTCCTTCATTAACTGCACTAGAGCTATCTATATATAATTTAGTCAACCTATGAACCCGAATGCAAAACACAGCAGAAATGTTATCTGACCTAGATACAACTTAAAGGATGAACATTTATTAAACATTGATGATGTGATGGACCTATAGATTTATATAAACAGCCATCAGGATATCTGATGCCTATAATTTTAAACATTTCCTTTTCCCCAGAAGATGTATGAACTGCAAATGGAAATTAAAAAGCAAACCAATTTGGAAGCAAATTGGGGGACATGGGAAACCATTGTGAAATACAAACAGCACAGCAGCCCATTTCGACAAATAGAAAGCCTATCCTTTGATGTCCCCCTACCCTCGGGGACAGTATTTACTCGGTTACTCAACCACTGATTTCCCTGTGACTGGAGTAACCAATTTTATTACAATTTGACCCTAGAACTTTCAGTTCCACAATATCCTCTGGATAAAAACTGAAATCTAAATGGCCACCAAAATAACTGTTTCCAAGGAAACTGTTCATAGTCTAGATTTTATCAATTTTCTATATAAAATGTAAGAAAACATATGAAAGGAAAAACATTACCTGCATTCAAACGGAAATTGCTAAAATTAACTGAACCACCCACCATTCATTCAAATCATAACTGAAAGGGGTTTATAATCACACGTGCAATTTTTTCCTTTACCTTCAGTGTAGCAACAGGATGGAATCAGAGAAATGTGGACTATTATTTATCAGCAAAGACTTCACATCAGATGATTTTTTTGAAGGCTGCAGCATTGCCTGTGCGTCTTGCAGCTGTGGATAATGCTATGAAAGAAGGCTTGGCAGACCTATTTCAGCCACAGCTGAAAGAAAATAGTAATGTCCTCAATTAGCAACTAATGCAATAGTTGAACTACTGCAGCTTTTGGAAAACACTGAAATTATTTGCCTGCCTTTGGGTCTGCCCTATACTCTGGTAGAAGTAAACAAACGTTCAACTGTCATTTTAGTAGCTAGAGACTGATGGACAGTGGTTTTCCCTGAAATGGGAAAAAAACAGATTTGCTTTCTGGTGTCTAGTTTCTTTATCAATGAAATGAGAATGTTACTGATGAGCTGTCAAATTAGCTGGCACATAGTAGGCGTGAAGTAAATATTTTTTGAGTGAATTAATTAATAATAGCTATCATTTACTGAGTTCAAACCAGATATGCTAGATAATTTACCATTATCATTTTCATTTTGTATATGGAAAACCTAAGGTTAGCAAGTGACAGAAATGGGCTTCAAAGCCTGGGCTTTTTTATACAGTGTCACCTTGCCTCTCCTAAGGACACTATGGTAATTAATAAAATTAAAAGCACAAACCTTTGTGTAAGAATATGCAGGAACATAAGGTAAAAAAAAGGCAAACTCAAAGTGGATTTGTTTGGTTGGAATCTTGTCTCTACTATATATTTGTAGGATGACGTTGAATAGTTTCATTTCACCACACTGATCATCAGTTTTCTTATCTGTAAGACAAGGCTAATATTGGATATATCTCATAACCTTGTTGTGAAAACTAAGCTAGATTGATAATCTGTGTAATGTGCTTAGCATAGAGTCTGGCACATAATTAGTCCAGCTTCAATATTAGCTATTAGTTCCCATACCCAGGCCTCTCAACAGCAATTTTGCTTAGTTGCCAATAGACGGGTCTGTTTTTTCTTAGATAACCAAACAGCAATGTGCATATATGAGTACTAGCCAGGAAGACAATCTCCTTCATTATCGAAAACAAAGAAACAAACAAAAACTAGACAGTTCCAAAGTCACGGCCAAGACACATTCAGGAGGAGCTGTAACCCAGGTGTTCACTGACTCCTACTGTAACTGTAGAGTTACTGCTGCATATTTTACTACCACCAAAAAAGTAGACAAAACAATTTCCCTTAGTTCTCTTGACAGAATTGAAACATACTCACATGTACAAAAGAATCTTTAGTAAATATTAAGAGAAAACAAAAAGAAAGCAATTACAGATGCCACAAACTCATATATGTGTATGTGCAGTTTAATTTTCCTCTGAGCTAATACCTTTGATTTTTATTAATTCACTTCCTGATATGCTTTTGGCCCTCTTCTTGCAATTGTTTATTTGTTTTACACTTTGTATTAAGTATGTATTTTTGTAAGGCACCTTAAGTACTTAGTGGGGAAGTAAAGGGGCCAGATATAAAACAAAAATAGACAGATGTATAAATAGATAGATAGATAGACAGACAGACAGAGAGAAAGAAAATAAATAACTTTCAAGAATTTTTGAAACCCAGATAACTGCCTCTAGGCCAAAAGAGATGATACCCTTCTCTCCCAGCTTCTTCACTCCACCTGGTGGGCACCATCTTTTTTCCTACCACACAGGAGTCCATGAGTGATGTGTCTTGCTCTCTCCTCTTGGACTACCATTTTCCAGGACTCGGAGGGCTGCAGTGACTGATGTAAACAAAGCTTTTACCCTTTCTGCCTCAAATTAGCTGCCCTGTCTGCTTTACCATCTTTTTTCCTACCACACAGGAGTCCATGAGTGATGTGTCTTGCTCTCTCCTCTTGGACTACCATTTTCCAGGACTCGGAGGGCTGTAGTGACTGATGTAAACAAAGCTTTTACCCTTTCTGCCTCAAATTAGCTGCCCTGTCTGCTTTTAGAGCACTTTGTAATTCAACCAAAAGCTTTAAAATGGTCTCACCCATCACAGACCCAGAGTACCGTAATACCCTGCTGTTACCTTCATATTAGAGCACTTTGTAATTCAACCAAAAGCTTTAAAATGGTCTCACCCATCACAGACCCAGAGTACCGTAATACCCTGCTGTTACCTTCATATAATACACATTTGTACGTATCTATATCAGAGGGCAATTATGTCCTCAACGGGAGACTTTTTGACGCTCAGATTCATCTCCTGTATCCTTCTCCATACTTTATAAAATGCACTCAGAGATGCATTCGAGAAATGTTTGAGTTGAACTGAACTGAAAACATTTATATCTTTTTCCCATTTTTGAATGACAGAATTTAACAGCTAAATTGACATAATTAGATTTTTCAACTCTTTCTAATTATTGCTTTATTTAGAAGTCTATTCGGAGGTCCATATTGGTCATTAATTTACGTTGCTACTGAAGAGCTGAAATGTGTAATAACGAACTGAATTTAACAAACTGTCATATTGATATTTATAGGGATTCAAGGATATTTCTCTTGAGAGGTTTATACATGGCGGAGCCAATGTTACAGGATTCCAGTTGGTAGATTTTAATACACCTATGGTAACCAAACTAATGGATCGCTGGAAGAAACTAGATCAGAGAGAGTATCCAGGATCTGAGACTCCTCCAAAGGTATTTATTTGTTTTTATCTAATGTAATATTAGTATTTTTTTTTAATTTAAAATAGAAAGTTTATTATGTAGTTCCTCCAGCAACATTTTGTCAGATATAGCATGGTACAGGAAGGAAGCATTTTGTCACTATTAACTACACTGCACAAGCACTTAACAGTTTCTAAATTTCTATCCTTAAGAGTAGAGTTGCTCGACATAACCTCAAGCAGTTTACTATTATTATTATTTTGCATATGAATTTCCTTGGAGAAATTGTGCATTCTTTTAAAAATTTTGTTAGCTAAATATTTCAGATGTGAACAGTCATCAGTAACTTTTCTACCCAGACAAAAACTGTATTTTCAAAGTGATTTATAATGAGTAGGTAAGTTAGGAAATTGGTAGAAAGGTAAAATGTACAAGCTTCTGAAAAATTTCCCTCTCAAATTAACAGTAAAATGTCAGGTTGTTTGATTTTTTCTGACAGATATTGCAGAAGTATATTGTTAGTATTTGCAAAGGAAGCTGGCAAATTCCTGACTATAAGCACATTGTTTTTTACCTGAAAAGATGGATGACTTTCTTAGACATCATGTAAATAAGGGCATATGTTTCTTAAATTCCAACTCAGTGGTTTTGAGCTCCTCCATTCTAAGGCATAATCATCGTCAACATCTGCAAATCTCTCACTGACAGAGTATTCCAGTAGAAAGTTTTAATCTATAATTTAGAAATCAAAGCCTAGAAAAATTAAGATGTAGGGGTAGAGGGTCTCAGATCTTCCTTTTCTAATTATAAAACATTTCATACTGACCGTGTCAATTACCCTCCTGTAATATTGGAATTTGGCTAGCTAGCCATACTGTCTTCACTGTTCTATAGAATCATGGAATTTCAAAATAGAGCGTTTATTGTGTCCACTATGTGCCAGCACTGTAGTACAACCCTCTGATTTTATAGATGAATACATGCAAGATATTAAATGGATATGTCCCTAAGTCAGGGACCAGGTTCATGAAATACCCAGAATAGAATGTCTTCTATTTGATAACCTCCATCTAGACTTGTCTATGCTACTTTGTATATATAAAAAAATATAATTCTTTACAGGATTTATTTGTGATAATTCTGCTTCATTGATGTATCTATTTAGATTTAAGCCAATTTTACGGTGCTTTGATAAACACAGATTTATGACACATTATAATAAAACAGGCCAAATTCTTAAAATATATATATATATTATATTATAATTAAATTACATATATATATATATATATATAATTATCTAATCTTTCACTGCTCTTGGCATGATTCTGTGCACTTGTAGTCATTTAATAAATATATACAGTCAATTCTCATTATTCACAGTAGTTATATTCTATAAAGTCCCTTCAAATACTGAAGGAGCTTATACTGAACCATTATTTTAAGGAAAATACAGGGTTAGGTTCTGCAGGCCTCTTTTTGTCAGCAAATCAATACATAACCTTGTTTTATGTGTGTTTCTGTTTTAAAAAAACTTATTTAATATATTGTTGATTCATTAACATTGAACTCATGGCCAACAGCACTATAACTCATGCCTGAGAAAAGCTTATTTAATGTGTCTATTTTCGCCATAAGGCACATCACAGCCTCTTTGCACTTAGGAACACTAGACAGCACTTCAGCACTACACTCTTGGACCATTTTAAACAGTGAAATCATCAGCAAAAAGCACAAAACTGCAGAAAACATGGCACTAAATAGACCAAAGAAGAGACGCTTGTTTATAGTATGAGAGCAGAAACAAGACAACAAAGTGTTTCCTTGTTCAACCGCAGATGGGACCTTGTGTGTTATGTGACTCAAATACTTCACCACTCTATACATGTCCATAAATGACCACAAAGGTGCCTTGAGTATTGACTTAGGGGTGACAAATAAATATTAGCAAGTAGCCAAATTTAAAAATACAGAATCCACAAATAGTGAGGATTGATTGCTGCTAATTAAATTCTACTTCAATTGTTAGTATTTGAACCAAGATTAAATCAGGATTTCTGATCTTGTTACTTCCCTGCTTTAAAAAAAAAAAAAAAAAATTCTTCTGGAATAAAGGTCTTCCACAATACAGGCCAAACAAGTCCTTCCAATTGCATGGGCTTCTGATCCTTTTCTTGATGCTCCAGCCAAATTAAACTGCCCTCTAATTTCTCACTCCTTATCAGTGCATTTGCTTCCGCCTCAGCAGTCTTCACCTTGATTTCCACCTGTCCAAATTCAACCATCTTCCAAGAATTTATCTCAACTTCCACAGTCTCTGTGAAACCTTTTCTCTTTCCCCCAGTAAATATGATCCCTTTCTCCTTTGTCCTCTCCATAATATTTGATTGTTAATGCTCAGCAAGTGTTTAACATAATTATTTGCACACTTATTATTTCACTCCTGTAACTCATTTGGAGGAGTAACCATCTATGACTCATCCTTGTAGTCCTCACGATTGCTAGCCAGGGTCTAGCACATTTTTCAAAGAACTCTTAGATATGATATGAAATTTCATCCTCACACTGACCACTAGAGATAGTCTTTATTATCTTGTTTTATTTGGTTTTGCTCTGTTTTGTGTTCCATCGCCAAAGAATGTGCTCCACATTACCATAAACCTATAAATAGCAGAATTAGAATTCATCGCAGTTCTTTCTTTTCAAAGCCCATCATCTTTCCACTGCTCTGTGATTCTGCCCATCTCTGTCTTGTTATCTACAAACCTTGGTAAACAGAACTCATTCCACCATTTTGATCACTGAGCAGATCAATAAAGAACGCCAGGCCACTATTTACCCTACCCCAAAATGAAATGTTAATTTATTTTATTGAAACATAATTGATTATACATATTTGTGGGGTACAGAATTAAGTATCAATACTCATATACAATATATGATGGTCAAATTAGGATAATTAATGTATTCATCATTACAAAACATAATCTTTCTTTGTGATCCTTTACCAATTGCTCCCTAACCCTTTCTCCCCCTTTCCCACCTCTAGTAAACTCAGTTCTGTTCTCTCCTTTTGAAAGTTCAGTGTATTATTGTGATCGTTGTATCTTTCTTTTTCTTTTTTATTTATTTGTTTATTTTTTTAACTCCCACTTATGAGTGAGGACATATGGTATTTCTCTTTCTGTGCCTGGTTTATTTTACTTAACATAACTTTCTCCAAGCTCATCCATGTTGCTGCAAATGGCAGAATTCCATTTTTTTATGGCAGAATAATATTCTATTATGTATATACACCACATCTTTTTTACCCAGTTGTCTGTTGATGGACAGTTAGATTGTTTCCATCTCTTGCCTATTGTAAATAGAGCTGCAATAAACATGGGAGTGCAGGTATCCCTTCGACATGATGATTTCCATTCCTTAGGGTATACACTCAGCCCGGGAATTGTTGGATCGTATGGCAGTTCCACCTGTAATCATTTCAGGAAACTCCTTACCACTTTCCATAAAGGCTGCACCAATTTACAGTCCCACCAACGGTGTAGGAAGGTTTTTCCTTTGCTGCATCCTTGCCAACACTTTTTATTCTCTGTCTTTTTGGTAACCGCCAGTCTAACTGGAGTAAGATGATATCTCAATGTGGTTTTGATTTGCATTTCCTTAATGCTGAGTGATGTTGAGTATTTTTTCATGTGTCTGTAGGCCATTTGTATATCTTCCTTTGAGAAATGCCTATTCAGCTCCTTTGTCCATTTTTTTGATCACACTACTTGTTTTTTCACTGTTGTTTGAGTTCCTTGTATATTCTAGATATTAATCCCTTGTCATTTCCATAGTTTGAAAATAATTTCTCCCATTCTGCATGTTATCTTTTCACTTTGTTGATTGTTTCCTTTGCTGTGCAGAAGCTTTTTGGTTTGATATAATCCCATTTGTTTATTTTTTCTTTTGTTGCCTGTGTTTCTGAGGTCTTATTTGCAAAGTCTTTGCCGAGTCCTACATCTCAAAGTGTTTCCTCTGTGTTTTCTTTTAGGAGTTTTATACTTTAAGGTCTTATATTTAAATCTTTAATCCATTTTAAGTTGATTTTGGTGTATGGTGAAAGGTACAGGTCTAGTTCCACTCATTTATATATGTATATCCAGTTTTCCCAGCACCATTTATTGAAGAGATGATCTTTTCCCCGAAGTATATTCTTGATACCTTTGTTGAATAAGAATTTTCTATATGCCATCTAGAAGTTGTGTGCCCATAAATGTGTTTTCCTGGTCTGTAGCACAATAAGACACATGGAAAAGAATTAGGTCCTTTGAAAAGGTAAAACCAATTACAACTACTGTTTCTTCTTGTCTGTCAGCTCCATGACATGTCAAATTCCAGGCCTTTGCTGCTCTGGCTGAATATCTCCTTTGCTCTGCACCACTCTGTGTGGTACCTGTTCTTTTTCAGGTTCACTTATTTCATAAAAATGGATGGAGTTTTAAAAACATAGCAAGTGTATTTGCTTTTTGGTGCCATCTCTTCTCAGCTTCTTTCTTCCCATTGAAAAAGTAACAATATATTCCTTTTTTTCTCCTTGCTCCTGAAATACTAGCATTGCATTTTTTCTCTCACCTTTTGTCTTTAGAAAGTTTCATTTTATTTTTTGTTTCTATTTTCTTGCCTTATGAAAAAATGATTTGGTGGCTTTCTTTACTCAAAGATGAGTTGGTTCAGGCAGGGGAGGAGGTATATTCATTTTTGGTGAAGCATCTTGCTTAACCACCTTAATTTCATTTAGACCCCATCCTAGTTGTGAGGGAGGCATGCCTGTCTTTAAGCCTGTTTTATCATACCCTGTAGGAATGCTCCTTATAGCAAAGCTCCTTATTTACATGGCTCTTATGAATACATTTAATTAATTTTAATTAGGTCCACTACTATTGACAGATTCTTTGTTAGAATTTATATTCTTTGTTTTATCTACGTTTTAGTTTTTCTCTTCCCTGGAATGCTGGCTGCTATGCTTAGTGGTCATGTTGCCTAAGTTTACTTTCTACAATTGAAATTTCAAATGATTTTCTTTATTTGCAAGTAGAAAATCAAGAAGATCATCCTTCACTTTCCATAGCACAAAGTTATCACTCACTCAGGCATAGAATGTGTTAATCATATGGAATTTACCATATGAAATTCCTGAAAGAGAAAATGTAGTTTTTGTCATGATTAGTAGTCAATGCTGTGCCACGCTTTAAGAAAATTGTGCTCTGTTTTCCTTGTGCTTAGTAATTCTCTAATCCAACTCTACCAAAATTGATCCCCTGTCCTTTCTATTTTCAGCTTAAACAAATTACATTTTCATTTCAGTCTTTCCTCACTTTCTCTCCTAACCTTAGTAACCTTTTCCTGGGGACTCACTCGTCCCAAAGAGACACATGGAGTGATCACCAGAAAGCAAATGGTCTATATTTCATTTCTTCACCTTGAACCAACATTATATTGGAAATTTAAAGAAATGACTTAACCTTCCTGAGTACACTCATTGCATATAACAATACTCATTCCTATTTAGCACAGTGACTGGGCATATGCATTTGCTGAATAACTGGATGTTATTTCTGGCATCTTATTTCTGAAAAACAATAAACAATCCCACTCATTCTTCTGGGAGACTGAACAAAAATATACACTTCAAGTCAATAAACATATATTAAATTTCAAGAATACCTACTAGGCATTTTGGAGGAGTAAAGTGTCAGACAGCCCAGCCCTCCTGCAGCTCAAACCCAGCAGCAGACTACAGGGCAGATCGTGACAACACTGCACTAGCTTCTTTTTGTACTTTAGCTGTTTATACTTGGACACAATGGAAAGACCTCACCTACAGGTCTTGCTTCTCCCAACCCATGGAAAACTGTTTATTAGAATTTCTATTTTTCAGAGTGTATTTCTCCTTTTTAAGTTAGGATCATAAGATTTGGTATACAGTTATATTCAAGCAAGAATAGAAATTTCTAAAGCCAGAGTCAATTAATTATCAGTGATTTAATGTCCTCCAGACAGGATGGTGCTTTATGCTGTAAGCCCACATAGCCCCCAGACTATTCCTAGTGCTAATATTTACCATTGTAATCACTTTCATTTGGTTAGTACACCTCTGCTCTGACTTATGATGGAGTCCTTGTGATGGCTGAAACTTTCCGAAATCTAAGAAGGCAGAAAAT